TAATGAAGAAAAAAAAACCATGGACGTGTTGTTTTTATTTCGGTGTCGCTTTTTTTTTTGCTTTCGTGAAAGGATTTTTTTGGTTCAATTAAGAATCATTATAGAACAAATTAAAACGTGCCTCGAGAAAGTGACACCTTGTAGATAATAATAATAATAATTGTAAGTCTGAGAAAAAGGAAAACAAAAAAGAAAACTTGAGCTTCATCAGTTAGTAATAACTAATGAAAAATTAGAAAAGAAATCAGTAAGCATATCTTAATTAATTTTTATTTTCCCTTTCTTTCTCACACACATATGGCAGAGTAGAGTGTTTACCTGGCTATATATCCAAAAAAATCCCTGCAAACATATAAATTGAAAAATAGCCTTGAAGATCCAGTGCCTACCAGAACAGAAAAATTGCCTCGTATAACAAGCCTTCAGCTTGTACAAATTTAAAAACTCAATATAAATTTTTTTTTTTCTTAAAACTGAGAGAGTAACACAAAACAAACCGATTAATTTCACTAATAACTATATATGAAGAAGTCAATCCGCATAATTGATATTTACGAATTTATTCATACACAAATTCTTATATGATCTGTCGTCGAGGACAAGAGTTCACATAATTTATCATGATTGAATTTTAGTTTTAGATTTCATTGTCAATGGAGCAAAAAAAAAAAAAACATGTGAATCAGTCACAAAATGCAATGATACACATATTTTAGAAAAAAGGTTATAGGAGTAAAGTATCTTTACCTTCAACACAACCAACATAAGTCCCCTCCAAAAACAGAAAAGAAGTCACCCCTATCATTATTGCACTAAAATAAGTTCAACATTCAAACAGGAAGTTGGTTTCTATATCCATAGAAGTTTCTTTCAATAATTAATGCGATGGAGACGAAGACTTAACTCAGGAGGCCAAATATGCAAGGGTGTAGAAAACAATATCTCTAAATTCTAAACGAGTCCATATCCAGTGCACTCGGGTATACCGTATACTCCCATTAAACACACGCGTTATACGCGCTTAACATTTTTCACCTTTACATTAAATGTTGTACTTGCATTTTTTTTTACTGGATAATCACTATAAAACATTCGGATAATCAGGTGTAACAAGTTGGATAACTAGTACAAAGATCCTGGATAACAATTACAAACGGTTGAATGTTGCTGGACATTGGCTGGATAACCAGTACAAAAGTCCTGGATAATCAATACAGAGCATTGGATAATCAGTTTACATTTTCTGGATAACTAGTTTACAACTTGTGGATAACCAGTACGACATGTTAATTGGGGGGCTTCGCCCCCCATGATAAACTAAACGACTCTCGCGGCTACCGGAACCGCAGGTCACTAACCTGCCTCGGCTGCGGCGCCCCGCTGAACACGCCAATGTAGCTAAGGTAATCTTTTTTTCGTGTGTGTGTAAGGAAAGTGTGTTATTGCGTTAAGAGGGGATATAAATTACTTGTATAAATCCCCTCGTAATAAACTAAACGACCCGGCTGCGCCGCCCTCATGCCGAACATGACAAATTTCATAAATAGTATTTAATTGAATGAGGGAAATTTTACCAAATAATGGAGAACAAAAAATGAATGAAGGGCAGCTGGATAACCAGTGTAAAAATACGGACAAGGATATCCAAGAAAAATATAAAAGGAAAAAAATGAAATTTGGCAACTGGTTATCCAGCTGTGTGTAACTGGTTATCCATAAAGTGCACACTGGTTATCCACTATGTCCATACTGGTTATCCAACAGGTAATAATGGTTATCCAGCTGTGTGTAACTAGTTATCCATAGTGCCAACACTGGTTATCCACACGCGTTTAAAAAAAAAAAAGAAAAAGAAGGATGAATTATCTAGAGAACTCACACTATTCTAAGAGAGTAAATTACATGCGCAGGGGAGGTATACGGTGCCCCCGGGTATCCCAGATAATTTGCCTTCTAAACGATTTGATGCAAAAAGTTTTTTTAAAAAAAGAAGTAATTTTGCGCACAAATGTGTAGCTATTTATAATAATAATAATATCAAGCCAAATGATGGATACGGATGAACTCAAAAAGAGGACATGAACATATAAGATTGAAAAGAGCCTAAGGGCAGCCAAAACTCGAAGAAATTATACTAGCTGCAACGAGAACAAGGAAGGTGAAAACAAATGTCAAAGCCAAATGATTCTATAAGTACGCTACTACGCTGAAATTGATGGTAGATTGCAAAACTAAGGGTTTTATGTATTATCCATGAAAATAATAAATATGTTAGTGGCGATTCTAATAAGTATAATAATAACTATATTCAAATGGTGGAGAACAAATTGCAAATTCATAATTAAAATGTTTCACCTACCAGTTGTTAGGCATCGGGCATAGCATTCTATTGACAATAAGGTTGAAATGATGGATCCATTACATCAACTCCCTCCCGCTTTATCTGAGATTTGGAATGTTACTTTAAAAATCACTTTTATCAGCTGATGGAGGCTAGGTTTGAGGCCGCGGTTGAAATAATATGGCTAAAGATTAGGTTTCTTAAGATTATTTATGTAATTTTAATTAGTTTAATTAGGATTTTACTTTTGTACTATTCTTTCTATTTAAATGACAGTAGCCACAAATTGTATATTAGTTATTGAATTTAATAAAATTGAGATTATTCTCTTTACTAAATTTCCTGATTCATCAGTTTTCATTCATCGAATCGTTGAATTAACGGAGTTTAGGAAGGTTGATATTTAGGTAAGGTTGATATTTAGGTATTCGTGTCGAATGAATGGATTTGAACAGCTCGTGTTAGAGTTCTTGTCGGATTGGTTTCGATTCAAGATTGAATTCATCCACAATTGATGCAGCCAGCGGAAGCCTCCATTCTAAGATAAAACCTGATTAACAAGAACCCTAACAAATAACCGTTAATAGATCCATAAATTCTGTGAATACCTAAGAATACAACTTTTCTAAATTTCATTAATTCGATCCACGAATCCCCACTATCTAATACATTAAAAATCCTACCAACATATACCAGGAAATTTGGTAAAAGAGAATAATTTTAATTTTATAAATTTAACAACTAAATTTTACAATTTCGGCTAAAGTCTTAAATAGAAAACAAAAGAATAAACCCTAGTCAACTATACTAAAATGACAAAAATATAAGTGGACAAATATAATTAAAACCCTAATCCATTAATTTTTTCCATCCTTCATCATTAGCTCTTTGGTACCACATTATCATCCACTTCAAACTTTGATACAACATTGTTGTCCGGTTTGAGGCAGATGACAATATGGTATGAGAGATGATAAAAACTGAATTCAAATTAGAATTCTAAAACTCGAGCATATCATTCTATTAATATTAAGGTTAAAATGGTAGATCCGTAGTATCAACTCCTCTTTTGGTTGATTTCAAATTCAGAATGTTACTTTAAATCATTTTTATCAGCTCTGATACCGCATTATCATCTACCTCAAGCTTTGATGCCATATATTATCATCAATTTGAGCTTGAGAGCTCATAAAAACTAAACTCAAATTAGCATTCTAAAACTCGAATAAAGCACGAGAAGTCGATGTAACACAACGTTCAGCTTGATCCGTCACAACTGCAGTTGGGACATTCTAATCAAACTGCAATTAGTCCTCTCTCCAAGTTTGAAGATTGTCATAAGCATAAGTAGCAAGTTTATCGTTTTTAAGATAATACCATACACAAAATTTAAGTTTCGCAATCTTTCATCATTTCTTACAATTGCACTATAACCAAATTAAAACATGCAAATGATAAGAAAGAAATATCAGAAAATTTCATTGTTTCCCCTCACATAAAGTAAACATGAGCAAAGAGAAGTGAAAACAATATCTAAAACACAATACAACCCATCGGCTATAAAATTTATTGTATTCAAAGACATTTATATCAAAGAAAAAACCACAAAAACAAAAAATTGTGACTCCTCAGGGTGGAAGTTGTGAAATAAAAAAAAAAAAACAAAACAAAAACAAAGCCAGAATTTATCTCAACCCTCTTTGTTTGTGGGTTCATCACAACAAGAATGTAAATTATATCCCTAATTCAAAAACAAACCTTTTTGCCACCACCCACAAAACATTGTAACTTAGGGTTGTTTTTTAGGGTTTTAGACTCTTTTCTTTGTTTATTTAAAAAAAAAAACAAAAACAAATTCATACAGCATTGATCTCTACCTCAGGCACCAAACAATCGGAAGTGAATAAACTCGTTAGATTCAATCTCGTGAAAGGCTACTAAAAGATCCAATTACCAAAAGGACTTTAGAACTGGAAAACTTACTCAAAAATTTTGTCAAACATCATGAAATCGTGATTAATAAAGTCTAATACTAAATTGTGGATATTATTCTTTCGCAAAGTATTATCAATCGATTTACGAACCTGTCGAAACACACATGGATCTGAGTTCATGTTCTTCGTAATCTTGCAAACTCCTGTTTGTGTTCTGTGTTGTGTTTTGAACAGGTCGCTCTTTGAGCGTCAGATTTCGGATATTAGTACTGTTCATATCAAATATGAAGGGAAAAAAAAAAAACCCTAGATCTTGACGGCGTTGGTATTTTCATCATAAACCCTAGAGATATGAAAAACATGCAGGGGTACGAAGGTTATATATACAAGTTAAAAAAAAAAAAAAAAAAATTAAAAGGGGAAATCGGAAACGCGATAGGATTAGGAATTTTCCGGGTTCTGTTTGCAATATTAGTTTTAACATCAGTGCCTTACTTAGGTTCTGTTTAGGTTTTAGGTAAATGATAGGGACTAATATCGTAAATAGCGTTAACTAAAGTCGGTTGGCATCAAGCTTCTCTACAAGTTTTTTTGAGTATAAGCTACAAATTTTGGAGTCAACGAACTAATAATATTGATGTTTGATGGGAAGAGAGGGTTGTGTGGGATGGCTGGAGTTGGGATTTGGGACGAGAAATTATTATTACCACGAAGTCAGAGAATCTTGTTGGGAGTAAACCAAATTTATATTGAAATTTGATGAGCCACCGACCTGGGAGCTGAATATACAAAGAGCTGTACATGTTACAAGAATCAGTAAGTTCAACTTAACAGCTTAAAAAATGCCTTGTTAATAAGGCAAGACAAGGAACGAAATATGGTCAAATAGACTAACTTCTAAATCATGTGGTTAAGCAGTATCCATCGTAGCTCTCTCATCCGTCTAGTCACTACTAACATCTTTCTGTTGCGGTCCTGAGATATGCTGCTAGCTATTGTCATCTTCGACTATATTACCGCTGCAACTAGGTTTTTTCTTTCTTGTTTCAAATGTAAAAATGAGTACTAATGTTGTAAACATTAGCGAAATCTGGGGTGGGCTATCAGAAGTTAGTTACCAGAGTTGTCAGCAAAGAATTAAGAATTTGGCAGACTTCGCGTTCTCTGTCATCTTTCCTGTTGAAATGCGAGATCCAAGGATGTTATTCACAGGAAACAGAGTTGAAGGGTTCACGGTTGGTGGAAATCCAACTGCTTTCCATGAGGAAAATTCTAAATTTGAGCAAGACTCTGATCAACTTTATCCACCAATGAAGTATAATGTTGAATTTCCTGGTTTGTAAGCAAAGGATTTACCTACAGAGACAGTGAATGCACTTCACTTTAACTCAGGAGAGATGCTTTCTAAATAAATTGGCCAAGTCAATATAAGCTAGGCATGACAATGACCAATATTCAGAATCGACAATATCAAAAGAAATCAGCACATCAGAGACTGGACATATAAAGCATCATACCTTCTCCTGCTTGCCATCAAAAGTGTGATTCTGAGGGGAGTTGTTCGATACTGTGGCTAAGATCTGAGTTACGTTTGGCAGAATCGCTGTCATTGGGAATTTGCCCATTATGCTCCATAGTTGATGTATCATGGTAAAGATGGCCAAGTGTGGTTCTCAAGCGATGATTTCCATAAGAATAATATATTTTGGTCGCAAGGGGAACTGGAACATCTGATATTGTTGCTGTAAAAAAATTCACGTGGAAGTATCAGTAGAATAAAAAATACTATAATTCCAATCACTCGGAACAAATGTCAACTAAATGCAGAAAGCAGACCCTCTACAGCACCAAATTTACGATACTTAGAAGTGTCAGAACAAGCAAGTGGGTGCTACCTTTGTTAGTTGTGCAAAGACCATCAACTTGTCCAGATATTTGATGCTTGCTAAGATGGCTAGAAGTTGTCTGACTTTCTAATGCTGATCTGGTAGGAGCCACCCTGCCTGATAACATGCCAGAGATACAAAAAAAGATTGAACAATTCTATCAAACAAAACCCACAATTGCAAAGAACATAGAACAAGAAAACTATTGTGCACATTTTTTAAAAGCAAAATACACTACTAAAAATCTTTGACCATACCAAGTTGAGCCTCCTGAGAGATCACTCCATTTACTGCTTCGAAATGTTCCATAACCGATGGTGGGTCAGCAGCTTTTTTTACCATACCAAGTTGTGCCTCCTGAGAGATCACTCCATTTACTGTTTCAAAATGTTCCATACTCGGTGGCGGTCCAGCAGCTTTCACCCTGCAAATTAAGGGAAAAGTTTTTCTATTTGAGTAGGTACATAAAATGTATTTATTGAAGAAGGAAAAGAGGACTAGTCCAAGAAATCCTAAAATCCTGCTGAAAGTCCAATTTTATAACTATTCTTCACACAACAAATACATTATAAGACACATAATAAGATGATATTGATTACAGAGAGAAGGATGAACAGACATAATAAAACGAATCAGGAATAACAGATATACTCAAGAATAATGGTATTGAAACCAGGGCGCACTGTTAACGGACTATTATAAAGCGTAACTGACAAACAATAGAAACTACCATTACTGTATAAGCAGGATATGTTGTCATGGATCCAAAAGACCAAAAAGAAAATGCTAAGATAAAGAACAAATCTCACATTTTTGAACGTTTTCTAGAACGGGGCATTGCACAACCTACGCAATTTGGATTTTGACTTTGAGGAACAGTTCCCAGGCCATCAGGCGGCACTGTACAATCTGCATATCATTAGAAACATAGTGAATAAAACATGGAATGAACAAGGAGATGACAACAGATGGATATCACTATAAGATTCACAGTATGTCTTCACTACTTCTTTCGGTTGGTTTATTTCACCATTTTTGTCAGAAGACAGGAAAGAAGATCATGCATCTGTTTCAGTAAGTTAATCGGCAATCACAAAGTTTGCAACTATTACAGGCTTACAACCCTGTAATTTCAAAGATACAGCAAGAAAGATAGAAGTTGAAACCTTTTGCCTCTGAAGAAGGCTTCTCCAAAAGGGATTGAGATGCAGTTACTTCACTAGCATCAAGGATTTGAAATTTAGCTCCTTCTACTGATGTAATCTGGTCTAATAGAGGTTAACAGAACAAATCTTCATCCATCAATCCAATAAATTTCATATGAAATCACAATTCAACCACAGACCAAATGTACAGTGAAAGTCCAGATATTTTTTTTCCAAGTTCCAATGAGGGAGAAAAGGGAGCACTAAAACTAGTTGATGGATTTCAAACGTAGTCGCCCAGGAAAGGTTATAAGGATACTAGAATTGACAGAAAGCAACTTCTTTCTCTCTTTCCGTGGAGGCTTCTTGGGTCCTCTACCTCCATCCAGCTCCAAAATAATTTCTTCAATGGAAGTTAATGAACTACAAAGCTCTGAAAACATCAGAAACATTAATGATCCATATTAATTCAGACAGTTGAAGTAGGCTAGAGATTAGATGCACAGAGTTCAAAGGCAAGAGTGAAGGACAAACCATTAAACAAGACTAAAATAAGGAGATGTCACCAATAAATAATGGTTTCAAGTTCAAATCAACATATTCCTTAGACACATGGTTGGATAAAGCAAGCACAAACAGGAAAACGACAAACAAGTTGCATACGGCAAGATATAAAAAGACAGGATCATGTCGTAAAAACATACCTGCATGCAAGGCATACTGGCTGGCCTTAATTGGCTTCCTACAAGCGTTGCAACATACCTTTACAACAATTGAAAAATCCATGGCGCAAATGAGAATAATTTACAAACATCCATTACAACAAAGATTAAAAGGACACATAACTCGGCAATAGCATGTCCTTGTATCTCTTGAGAAAATTGTATTCGGCATACTGCATCTACTTAAAGGATTTCAAGAAGTTTAATGAGTAGGCTGGAAGCTCACCAAATGCAGAGGATCTGTCATTGGTTGTAAATCAAATATGTGCATATCTGCGACAATAATTCATAAAAGTGGTTAGACATAGGAAGAGAAAGAATTACTAAAGTCGAACTCATATAATTGAGTCCACCTCTCAAGATTCAGTAGTTTTGGACAAACGATGATTAGCGGAAAAATCAAATGTTCATTTGGTAAATAACGTAAAATGGTGATCTGGATTGCCAAGTGATCTAAGCATACTAGCTGATGCAGGAAGCAAAGTCCATGTACTACAGAGGAAGCCAGCACAAGGAAAGGGACAAAAAAGAAAGTGAACCCAAAGAAATTAGTCTCAACATTTTATGCGCGTTGCTGATATTTTTAAGGTTTGCATGTTTTAAATCTTCTAATCAGCCTCAACCATCAAAACATCATATTAAAAGTTTAACAGGAATGTCCAATACCCATCTCACATTTGTGGTTGGAAAATATACAAGCACCTGATACCTTTTTCATCAATCAAATTTGCTTCATCTGCCTCCCTCAGTTCTCTATGAACATATTGCACATCTACTTTTTGATGGGCAAATTCATCTGCCATAAATGGGACAAAGATGAAAATCCGGAAGCACAAACTAATAGAAATTATACAGGAGAAACACTTAGTCACAAACTATATTACTTGTACTCAAATATTAACGGAAAAAGGAAGCTAGCATTTCAGGTCAAACATAAAGGTTTCTGGTCTTTTAAGCCATAAGCTCAGCAAGTGCGGGTCATATCATAAAGCAAAAGATGTTAAGAAGAAAAAGGTGACCCGCATACAGAATATTCAAAAATGTTCATACTCTACTTTTTTCAAGAAGTCACTGTTACTTTCTACTAACAATTTCTGATCCAAGGAAGTGTTCTAAAGAACCAACAATACAGATTCCATCATAACGACCTCTTATATAAAAGCAGAGAATGAGAGAAAACCAATAGACTGTCTGAAGAGTACTGACCCACAGAGGATGCAGTAGGTCTCCATGTATGTTTTAAATTCCAAGTTAAACCCCACATTCCAAAATATCTAATACAATCCAGTACAGTTTCCCATTGGTGACGAAGCAATGTATTTACAATTAATCAATCAACTATAAACACAGAAGCATCTGTCCTTTCCATTCAAGAATTATGTTTTACCTGGAATTGTTTGCGAGCTCAACAGAAGCCTTGCCAAGGCTGCCATTCTCTGACTTGGATGTGCACACACCATTAAGTTTTGTGAACCCGAAACCTATTAACTGCCCGCAAATTCAAGTCACAATATGGAACGATCACAACAGAAAATAAGCACTTCAGCAATCGACAATGATACTGCTATATTTATGCCTGCTACATTTAACTGCCCGCAAATATGGAATCAGAAAGAGTAAAAAGGAATCAAACATCGACAGAAGACCAGATGCAAATTCCAAAATTTCGAAACCCGGTGAAAACAATCCCAACAACCGATGAAAATTTTCAATCACAGAAATAACAAAAATTCGCCTCTGTCCTACTCATAAAACATTCCAAGATATATTCTTTCAGCTGTAAACAAGCCCAAATTCGCATACATAATTGCAATTTTCCAGAAGCCATTCAGCAGAACGGAAAATTCAAACCGTTAAACTGCCAGAAATTCCGTCAAATAAAAACCTTCTCTAAAACAAATTCCATAAGCATGCAAAACGAAAATCAGGCCAATGTACGTAAATTTGCAGAAGCTGATAATTCAAAAATAAATAAATAAATAAATTCTAACTTGAATTAAATGTAAAAGCTCCAGGTTCTGTAGCTTTACCTGAATTTTAAATAGAGCCGATCCCCACATTTCAGATATAAATAAGATTCTGAAACTCCCCCATTTTTGGGGGGGGAACAAGGCGGAGAATTTTTCTGGTGATTTTGAATCAACAGAATTCGGATTGCGAAAGTGGAAAACCCTATAATTACATCTCCGGGGAAGATATGAACATGATCGATAGAATTGGGATTTTGGGTTATTGAGGAGTGTTTTTCTTTTATTTTTTAGCTAATTTTCACTGCGTGTGTGCGTGTTTTTTTTTCCCCCTCTTTATTTTGGAAATTAATATAGTTTTTCTTCTGAGAAGGGGCAGATGGTAAAAAGAAGCAAACTTTGTGCGGGAGAAAGAGGAACAGGACTGGACTATTTGTTCAATCAGCCAAATTGAACCTTTTTTTTTTTTTTTGAATGTATGTACAAACCATTTTTTCCCTTTTTTGGGTTACTATTGGAGTTTTTTTTTTTTTTTGGCTTCCTCTAAATGATTTCGTGCAGTCTTAACTCCAAATTTGTGTTTTTGCAAGATTCAAACAAAAATTGTGTTTGTTCTTACTTTACTATTATTTGGAATAGTGCTAACAAATTATCATAACTCTGTCTGTTGTAAATTATCGGGTTCATTAGTTCCTTAGACTTTGCAATTGACTGTCCCAAATCAGTGTAAAGTAAGGGAGGCAATCTCTGACACGACCGGGGAAACCGACACGAACTCGACACGAAATTTCCGGGTTTGGTTTGTATTTTTTGATACGTATAATAAACGGGTCGAGTTAGGATCAACCTGTTTCTTATACATATCGGGTGCGGGTCAACCCGACGGATTACACGGGTAACCGTTTATGTGTAATATATACCTTTTTAGGGGTATCTTGAGAATTTTCAACATTACTAACCCTAATTCTAAGACTATGTATAGCCAAAATTTACTTTTACTTGCCCTTATTTTTTTTTCTTTCTCACGGCGGCCGACCTAAATATCTCCTCTTTGTCTTCTTTAAATTTAGGAACATTCTTCCACCGTTCCTCTCCAAAAACCCAAGAGAAAGGAGTCGAATTCCTACAATTCACGCAGAGCCCATGAGCTGGTATATACGGCACAGATTTAGCAAGTTCTTCACGGTCCCAAGATGAAGCTATATCACATGAAAGTTTCAAGACTTTGATCTTGTTGCTGATACGATTTTGCCATTTTTATTCTTTCTTTGCTTTGAATTTTGTAATCGAAACGATTTTTTCGATGGTAGTATAATAAAATCAAAATTCCCCTGTATCCCACTATCTCCCCTAATCTATATTCTTTTTTGACGTTGATAAACTTATTTTTCTACGAATTGTGGCTTGGTTTGGAGCTCTCAACATTGAAAAATGTAAATTGGCTCAAGTTTGAGTATTCACGGATGATAACTGATAGATTTATTTTTTATTGTTGCGCTTGCTTGTTGATTTGTAATTTTTTTTTTTTGAATCAATTAACTTTTACAGGTTAACAGGTCGACTTGACCTTTAAAAGGTCGGGTTAGGGTTGACAATCCCGACTTGTATAATTAAACAGGTCAGGTTCGGGTTAGGGATATATTTCGTGGGTTCGGGCTCGACCCAACCTGTCAACCCTAACCTGACACGAATTGTCAGGCGTAGTGTAAAGGAGGAGGATTACATTAGGTTGGCGGCCACTATAAAACTTTACCACTCTCATGAATATGGATCATATAAGAAATCGTGTAAATGTTAGGGTGCCACCCAAAAGTGGCGTGCCGCAGAGTTTGACTGCGTCGTCTTGGCAAGGACTGCTATATCTCCATAGGGACTTGGGTGTAGTGAAAATGGACAAGAGGTCCCGGACGCCAAGAATGAATTACAAGTCAAATCTTCCACATCTTGGCAAGGACCACTACAATCCCATGAGGGCGTGGGAGTAGTGGGAACTAGAAGAAAGACACATCATAGAAATGATAGGAATTGTAGAATAGGGAGTTGGAATATAGAGACCCTAACGGGTATATCCTTAGAAATAGTTGAAATTATGAGAAGAAGACGGGTAAATATAATGTGTTTGCAAGAAACGAAATGGGTAAGGGAAAATGCCAAAGTTCTAAATAGCACGGGGTACAAACTTTGCTATAATGGAAAAAGATAGAAATAAGAATGACGTAGAAATTATAGTCGATTCACTATTTATAGATCACGTAGTAGGTGTTGTTAGAAAGGGCGATAGAATCATAACCTTAAAGATTATAATAGGGAAAGAATCCATAAATATAATTAGTGCATGCGCCTCAAGTAGGATTAGATGAATCCACTAAAACTAAATTTTGGGAGGATTTGGAGTTTTTTATCCAATTAATCCCCCAAATTTTCATAGGGGGGATTTAAATGGACATGTAGGGAAGGACAATGGCGATTATGAGAGGGTGTATGGGGGCTATGATTATGGGGTACAAAATAATGAGGGCAAAACTATATTGGATCTTTCGGTGGCATATGATTTTGTCATATGTAACACCTAGTTTAAGAAAAGAGATGAACACTTAATCACATTTAAAAAGTGGTTCTACTAAAACACAAATTGACTTTTTCCTAACAAAGAAAAGTGATAAAAATCTTTGTAAGATTGCAAGGTAATACCAAGTGAATGCATTACTACACAACATAGACTACTAGTTTTTTATCTAAGAATTAAAACTAGTGTATGTAAAAAGAAAATACCTAAGATACCCAAGATAAAATGGTGGAAACTTAATAACAAAGATAAAAAAGATAGATTTACTAAGATTTTACTTGAAAATGTTAATTGGAACATAGAAAAAGAAACTAATAAGACATGGGAAAAAGTAACTGAAGAAATAAGAAAAATTGTTAAAAGGGAACTAGGGATGTCAAAAGGTAATAAATGCAATAAAGAATCGTGGCGATGGAATCAAGATATTCAAGAAAAAGTCAAAGAGAAAAAGGCTTGTTACAAAGCCTTTTACACTTGTAGGAGTGATGAGAACTTGAAAAAATATTAAAAGACTAAAAAATAAGTGAAAAAAGTAGTAAGTGAGGGCAAGATAAAAGCTTTTGAAAACTTTTTAAAAAAATGGATACTACGGAGGGAGAAAGAGATATTTATAAAATTGTAAAACTAAGGGAAAAGAAGACAAGAGACTTAACCAAAATTAAATGCATAAAAGATGAGAATGGACATGTTCTAGTTGAAAACAAGATATAAAAGATAGATGGAAAGAGTATTCGCATAAGTTATTTAATGAAGTAGATAATAGAGAAATAACATTAGGAGAACTAGAGCAAAGTGGGAATCATAAAATTTCACATACTATAGAAGAATCCAATTTAAAGAAGTTGAAAAGGCTATGCAAAAGATGAAAAATGGTAAAGCCATAGGTCCCGATGATATCCCAATAGAGACGTGGAGATGCTTAGGTAAATTTGGGATTGAATGGCTAACGGAGTTATTTAACATAATTATGAAGAGTAAGAAGATTCTTAACCAATAGAGGAAGATTACACTAATACCTTTGTTTAAAAATAAGGGAGATATACAAAATTGCGCTAATTATAGGGGAATAAAGCTAATGTGTCACACAATGAAGTTGTGGGAAAGAGTGATAGAAACTAAGTTAAGGCAAGAAAGTAACATAATGAAGAATCAATTTGGTTTTATGCTAGGAAGATCGACAATGGAAGCCATACACTTAATAAGAAAATTATGTGAACACTTTAATGAGAGAAAACAAGATTCATGGTTTTTATTGATATTAAAAAAGCATATGATAGGGTTAATAGGGATATAATGTGAAGAGTGTTAGAAAAAAAGAGAGTGAGAGTGAGATATATAGAATCTATAAAAGACATTTATAATAATGTAACAACATGCGTGAGGATTTCGATAGAGATTTCGGAAGAATTCCCAATCACAGTTAGTTTGCATCAAGGCTCGGCATTGAGCCCATACTTTTTTGCTTTAGTAATTGATGAAATTACTAAACATTTGCAAATAGCCCTCCCCTTAAAACTTAAGAAAAAAATTATATTTAAAAATTATGAAAAAAAAACACACACACACACAACAACAACAACAACAAAGAATAAAATGATGATAAAATTACTCTGAATTGCCTCCGTCTTAAGACTTTTATTGGATCAGAGGCCTATAATGGTGCAAGATATCAAAGTTTCTAAGCCCAACTAGCTAAATAGTTGGGTCCAATTCGGAGGCACTTCAAATTCGGAGAAACGTCGTATATTGGCACCACATTTATGAAACCCAAGAAATATCAGTGTTTACATATTATATGATCTTGGTGAATTTTGAAATTGAAACACATTTTATTAGAGATGGAGGAAGAGATTGTAACATCGAAAAAAAAAAGAAAATTGAGTTTAAATCTTTGATCGTTTTAAATCATAAAAAAAAAAATTTATGTGCATCAATTACGCTTCAATATGCATTTTGTTGCAGGAATGCATTTAATATTTACTTCATTTCGATTTATGTAAAATAATCGTTGCTTACACTTCACATTCAAAAGATAAATAAAAGTGTAAGTTTCACGTCAATTGGAAATACAAAGACACGATTATTTTATTTTGGAACGAAAGGAGGAGAAAATGTGGCGAACAAAACTCATTCTCAGCTGGCGCATAATGAAAGGGATGGGACTGGGGAGTAATATTTCGATGTCCAAAATACTGCACATATAATTCATTATTTGGTTTCGTCTGGTAGTAAATTACTGCTCAGCTAAGTCAGCTGGCGCCAAAATGTGACAAACTGTACTTTTTATAAATCCAATTGGCTTTTTTTTTTCTCTCTTTTTTTTTTTTTGGCCCTTTGATAGAAGAAAGATCGAAGATATTTGTTAAAAAAAAGTTCTACAAAGATAATTAGGACCACAAAAATGTAATTGTCGGCAATTAAATCATTGTCGTGGTTAATAAGAGCCGTCAAACAATCAAAATATTTTGCCATTTTTGGTGATGGATGTTAACTTAATTGATTGAATAACAAAATAATACTTCATTTCTCTCCATCATAAAAAGAAAAAAAGGGTCATTAATACTGAATTAAAATAAGCCATCAAATTCAAATATGACCCTCATTTAGTTAGGGTACAAAGAGTAAATTTATTACAACATTTTCAATATTTTGTAGTTACATTGCTTTCACGTTGTTCTACTACGTCTTATGTAACACGCGTGCTAGATTGTGGTGAGTTCTCTTGTGAATTGCATAGTGAAAAAAATAGTCTAATTTTTAAACTATTTGTGTTCAACTGAGAATTTGTGATAATTATTTATTTTATTTTATTTTTTGTACTTTTTTGGAGCATGAAAAATGAAATGATGGCTAGCTAATTCGATTTTTTT